TTACAAAGAGAATAATGATAATAATAATAACAATAACTAATATTCTCGCCTAATAGCCTTATTTTTCAATAATAGGCATAACTAGGCTATGGACCGACAAGTGATAGGTAGAGGACGTGGGAGACCAACTAGACAACATCCCGAAGCGGGTAGCGATAGGGGACCCGAGGTCAATCAAGACCAAGGTCAAGAGGGCGTGGCCGGAGATCAAGTGGCCACCGCAATTAATCGAATCACTGATGTCTTAGAGCATTTGACTGAACACCAAGCCTCTGGACAAGTGCATCACCAAGGAGGCCCAGCCGATACTGAGGATCGGACATTAGAAAGATTTCTGAAGTTCGGACCTCCCAAGTTTTATGGTGGACCCGAACCAGAGATAGCCGAAGGCTGGTGGGAGAGAATCTCTGACATTTTCGAAGCCTTAAACTATGCGGAGGAGAGACAAGTGACTTTCGCCGCATTCCAGTTTGAGGGAGCTGCTCGTTCCTGGTGGAACCTGGTTAGGATAAACTGGGATAGGAACCATACTCCGAGAACTTGGGCGAACTTCACAAGGGAGTTCAACGCCAAATTCCTTCCATCTCTCATCCAAGAGAAGAGAGAGGATGATTTCATCAAATGTAGGCAAGGGGCGATGAGTGTCGTCGAATATGAGGTCCAATTCACGAAATTGTCCCGTTTTGCTCCTGAATTGATAGCCACGGAGCAAAGGCGTGTAAGGAGGTTTGTGCAAGGACTGAACGTGGAAATTCAGGAAGGATTAGCTGTCGTACGGATAGACACCTTTGCCGACGCTGTCGAGAGAGCCAACGAGTTGAAGTAGCTAGAGTCCAAGTGAAATCTTTTCAAGCTAAGAAAAGATTTGCCCCTAGCAGTAGTCGGGAGCCGACTTATGGAAATGCTCCACCGGCCAAAATAGGTCGAGGAACAAGCGAAGTGAATAATCCTGGAGCACCACGAGGCGCCCTAGTGAGATGAACTGGGGCAAGAAGTGCAGGGGGAGAGATAATGGAGCTAGAGGGGGACCAAATGGAAGAGGTCAACCTAGGAACGCCTCGCAAGGAGGTCGTGTGACCACTCCCCAAGCAAACTGTGGGTATTGCAAGAGACCTGGCCAAACTGTGGATGGTTGCTGGAGGAAACAAGGAAAGTGCTTGAAGTGTGGGAGCAGCGAGCACCAAATTTTCGGTTGCCCAAAAATGCAAGACAATGGTACCCTGAATGCTAGACCAACCAATTCTGGAGATAGCAGGCCGAAAGTCCCTACCAGGGTGTACGCTATAGATGACCAACCTGTACCTGACTCCTTGGAAGTTGTGGAAGGTACTCTTCCAATTTTTCATCGATTAGCTAGAGTATTAATTGACCCTGGTGCAACTCATTCATTTGTGAATCCAACTTTTATGTCCGGAATTGATGTGAAACCTGTTAGATTACCCTTCGATCTTGAAGTTAGGACACTTATGGATAATAAGAATATGATCACTAGCTTAGCCTATAAGAATTGTGAATTCTGGATTGGGGAGCGTAAAATGCTAGTGGATCTAATCAGTCTGGACATAAAAGGTTATGATGTTATTATAGGAATGGATTTTCTAGCCCATCATCATGCTAAACTTGATTGCAGAGCAAAAGTGTTAGAATTTTGGATTTCCGGGGAAGCAATCCTGAAATTAGATGTGAAAAGTAGGTTAGTATCGTCTGCTATGATCTCGGGAATACGGGCGAGGAAAATGTTACATAAAGGAGCGCAAGGTTTCCTAGTCTTCCTGATTAACGCTCCTAGTGACCAAGTGAAGTTAGAAGATGTACCAGTGGTACGGGAATTTTTGGACGTTTTTCCTGAAGAATTAAAGACATTACCGCCGGAGAGAGAAGTGGAGTTCAAGATTGACTTGGTGCCGGGAACGGCTCCGATTTCTAAGACTCCGTACCGAATGGCTCCTGCAGAGCTAAAAGAGTTGAAAATTCAACTGCAGGACCTACTGGAGAAAGGTTTCGTTAGAGAAAGTGATTCACCACGGGGAGCACCCGTTCTATTTGTTAAGAAAAAAGACGGAAGTTTGAGGTTATGTATTGATTACCGAGGGTTAAATGAGATTACAATTAAGAATAAATACCGTCTACCGTTGATTGACAGTTTATTTGATCAACTGCAAGGATCCGTAGTTTTCTCTAAACTGGATTTGAGGCAAGGGTATTACCAGTTGAAGATTAAGAAGGAAGATATACCCAAGACTGCTTTTAATACAAGATATGGACATTTTGAGTTTGCAGTCATGCCATTTGGATTAACTAATGCACCAGCTGCTTTCATGGATTTAATGCAGAGAGTCTTTAAGAAGTATCTAAATCAGTTCGTAGTGGTTTTCATCGATGATATTTTGATATACTCTAAGACTCGATAGGAACATGTTAAGCACTTGGAGCTAGTTTTACAGATACTAAGAGAGCATACGTTGTATGCCAAATTTAGTAAGTGTGAGTTTTGGCTGGAAGAGATATCTTTTCTAGGGCATAAAGTTTCTGAAGAGGGAATTGCCGTGAATCCGGCAAAAGTTGAGGCCGTTATGTTGTGGAAACAGCCAGAGACTCCAACAGAAGTTAGAAGCTTCTTGGGATTAGCAAGTTACTATAGGCGGTTCATCAAGGATTTTTTGAAAATTGCTGGACCTATGACCGAGCTGACCAAGAAAGGTAACAAGTTTATCTGGACTCCAAAGTGCGAGTCGAGTTTTCGGGAGTTAAAGAAGCGATTAACATCCGCTCCTGCTTTGGTATTACCTGATGGAGGAGAAGGTTATGCCGTATACTCTGATGTTTCTAGAGAAGGTCTAGGATGTGTTTTGATGCAAAAAGGTAAGGTAGTTGCTTATGCTTCTAGAAGATTGAAGCCTCATGAACAAAATTACCCAACGCACGACTTAGAACTGGCTGCAGTGATTTTTTCCTTAAAGAAATGGAGACATTACTTGTACGACGTGACTTTTGAAGTTTATACAGACCATAAGAGCCTCAAGTATTTGTTCTCTCAAAAGGAATTGAATTTGAAATAGAGGTGATGGGTAGAATTTTTGGAAGATTATGATTATTCAATTAACTACCACCCAGGAAAGGCCAATGTAGTAGCCGATGCTCTAAGTAGAAAAGCCCAAGTAGCAGGGTTAATGGTTAAAGAATGAGACATGTTAGAAGAGGTTAGTAGTTGGAACCCTCGCTTAGAGAAATTGAAGATTTTATTTGGGAACTTGACATTAAAGTCACCATTATTAGAGCGTATCAAGGAGGCCCAGAAAAAAGGACCCCACAATCCAGAAGAATGTAGAGAAAGTGCAAAAAGGGGAAACTCTAGATTTTAAATTAGGGTCTGAAGGTGTGTTGAGGTTTCGAGATCGAATTGTGGTTCCGGCAGATGAAAAGTTAAGGAAAGAAATTTTAGAAGAATCACATCGATCAAAGTATATCATACATCCAGGAGGGAATAAGATGTGTCACGATGTGAAAGAGTTATACTGGTGGGACGGTTTGAAAAAGGACGTAGCTGAGATCGTACAGAAATGTTTGATCTGCCAACAAGTAAAAGTTGAGCATCAGAAGCCCTCTGGTCTATTGCAACCACTAGAAATTCCCGAATGGAAACGGGAACATATAACCATGGATTTTGTAACGGGGTTGCCTCGAAATCAAAAGGGATTTGATGCGATTTAGGTGATAGTCGACCGACTTACCAAGTCCGCACATTTTCTACCTGTGAGTAGGGGTGAGCACGGGTCGGGTACCCGCCCCGAACGGCAATTGGCTGACCCGACCCTAATATGTCGGGTCACTAATTTTTTGACCCTAATCCGCTCCGATCTTCCTCGGGTACCCGATCCTCGGATACCCGAAAAATAGGGGCGGGTCATAGGGTACCCACCCCTATTTAAAGAATGCAAATTCTACAAACTCACAAGACATAAGATGAACCTGCTGGACGATAGCATCATTCACAAAAAAAGGCAATAGCAATATAGCATAATTCAAACTAGACAAAGACAACATATTCAAATCTCAAAAATGATCAGTAGCAGTAGTTCCACACCAAATCATAAAGTTAGAAATATCTACTCTGATACATAACTTCCAAAAAGGGCATATAAATGAGAAAAATGTACACTATAATACTATATAGACATTCTCAAATCCAGCAAACATGGCATAATGCATTGACTAGGCAATAGGCATAAATCGAGAAGCTGTCTTCATTTTCCTCCCCTAGCCATGCCATGACAGTTAGTTTCAACAACCTCAAATGTTTCAACAACCTCAACCTTCTACAACACATGAAGGAGCACAATCTTCAAGAATCATCAATCTTCAATATTAATAATAGAATGCTCCACTGTCAAACCTGAAAAAAAAAATTCCAAAAATAAAAGCAACCAAGAAACATATTAGCACAAGTTGAAACTCAAATGAATAAGAAAATTTTCAATGCAATGATAACAAGATATGAAAAGTATTACGCGATTCCATTTCTTCAAGTTCAGTTATACTTTCTTCCAAATCAATTGGTTGAATACCCTTGCGAATGAAAATCCCACTTCTCTACCATATGTGCAGCTAATACATAGCTCAGAAACTCCCATAAAACCATGTCCAGATTCATCAAATACATAAAATAAAGGGTCATACATAGAAACAAAAATTTCAGTACTGAATAAAGCAACAACCATGTCAGTTTTACTTGACACTCAATCATATATTTCTTACCAGCAAAATAAAAGCATTGGAAAAAATTCTAGGTGAAAAACAGCACTTTAAAAAGTGTCTTCAGTATGTGACTAGTATCTTTCTCACTCATAATAATTTTCCATTTCTGTTGGATGGTGTAACTCCTCTTGTTTCCTTCATCATGATGGAGTTTTACTAATTAAGCAAGGTAATTGGCTATATGATATATAGAAAGAGAAGGCCAGACCAAGAGTACAAGTATGGTTTTTTACCTTCATTCTTTGTTTTTTTCACCTTCTATGAATTGTTGTCCTCCTTGACAATCCAATATCAGAATATAATGCGTATGTATCAACACTTGCAAAACATAGAAAAAGCAACTAGAAATTCAAAGTTTAGCATGATAACAGAAATAAACTTGCGTGTAAACAACCCTAAATGCTCCTTGATTGTCATACATTGAATACAATTATTAACCACCACAAGTCTTAGGTTACTTCACCAATGAAAATTCAGTTTCAATCACATGGCTAAAATTTCAATGGTTACGGCAATGAATCATATCTGTTGCAAAGCAATGGAACTTATTTAGTTTTTATAACTATAAGTAAATTTCAATGCCAAAATTGTTAACATATCATTTTCAAACATCTTCAAGTGGAGCTTGCAGTCTCAGACCATTACATGAACAGCATAGAGAATAAAAGGAATCGAAAGTTTAAATACCATTACTTGAAGTATTCCATTGAGAAACCCATATCACAGCACAACCATAAAAATTCAAAATTTACCAAAATATTAGAGCTCCTGAAGAACGAGCAAGAAGAAATCAGCTCAATTCCCCAGTAAAAAATAGTTTTCTGTTAAACCCGCCCAACTCAAACAGCATCATTATCCCGTAAAAGTTCAAAAAAGTACAACCCAGTTTCGATTTGGATGAAAGATCAGAATTCATGTAGCCAATTCGACAAATGCATAGACGTACACATAGATGCAGAATAGTTTTGTAGAAAGAATTGAACTTCAAAAAAAAGAGTTATTGAAAAACCTTGATAGCTAAACCACCCGGCTCCGGCGTCGGTGGCGTCAGGCGACCTTTTGGCAGCGTCCCTTTACTCGAAGGTAGAAAAGGACGACAACGGAGAAACAGGGCTGAAGAGAAAGGGATTCGAGTAAGGCAGTTTGAGGAGTTTTAACGGTAGTCGGTGTTTCGGACCTAGGTTTGAGAGACAAGGGCATCGGCCACTGAAGACTGAAGAAGTGAAGAGTGTCGGCTGAAGGCTGAAGCTGAGGCTGAACTCTGAATGGATTGGATGACCAACGGATTGATCTAGGTTAGGAACTTAGGGTTAATAACTTTAAAAATTATAAAATTGCCCCTATATTTTTTAATATTTATATATTATACCCCCGGGTCGGGTACCCGCGGGTTTTTGCTTTTACGATCCGTACCCGTATCCGAATATTCCGGGTACCTGACCCTATCTGATCCGCTAAGAGAAATCGGATCGGATATCCTATTTTTCGGTGCGGGTCGAGTCGGATCTCTCGAGTTTTCGGGTCGACGGGTATTTTTGCCCACCCCTACCTGTGAGCATGAGCTTTTCTTTGGAGAAATTGGCCAAGTTGTACACAGAAGAGATCATGAGATTGCATGGTATCCTATAAGTATTGTGTCTGATCGAGATCCAAGGTTTGTCTCGCGTTTCTGGCAGAAATTTCAAGAGTCATTGGGGACCAAGTTGAAATTTAGTACTGCGTACCATCTCCAAACCGATGGGCAGTCGGAAAGGACAATTCAAACTTTGGAGGATCTGCTGAGGTCGTGTATATTGGATTTTGGGAGAAAATGGAGTCAGTATATGACCTTAGTAGAATTTGCGTATAATAATAGCTATCATGCCTCGATTCAAATGGCACCTTATGAAGCGTTGTACGGGAGAAGGTGTCGATCTCTGATTCATTGGGATGAAGTAGGAGAGAAGAAAATTGTGGATCCAACAACTATACCTTGGATAGAAGAAACCCATGAGAAAGTGAAGCTAATTAGAGAAAGGCTTCAAGTTGCCCAGAGTAGACAAAAGAGCTACGCCGACACAAGGAGAAAAGATTTGAAATTTGAAGTAGGAGACAAAGTTTTCCTAAGAGTTAAACCCTTGAAGGGCGGAGTAGTATCCAAGAAGGGTAAGAAACTAAAGTCAAGGTATATCGGACCTTTTGAGATCTTGAAACGAATCGAAAAAGTAGCATATCAGTTGAAGTTGCCTGCAAGCATGGCCAAGGTTCACGACATCTTTCATGTCTCCATGCTTAGGAAATATTACCCCGACCCAAGCCATGTGTTGCAATTGGAAAGAATTGAAGTGAATGAGTCATTAACGTATGAAGAAGGGCCAGTCCAGATTTTTGAAAGAGAAGTGAAGGAACTGAGAAATAAGAAAGTTCCTTTGGTGAAGATTTTATGGAGAAATCACGGACTAGAGGAAGCAACTTGGGAATTAGAAGAAGAAATGCAGAAAAAGTACCCCGATTTATTTCTCTAGAAAGTGTGAATTTTGAGGACAAAATTCATTGTAAGGAGGGGAGGATGTGAGAACCTCGAAATATATATATATATACCTCAGTGCATATTTCATTTGCATTTCTTATTCTTTAATAAATTCTAGCATTTTTTTTATTATTTATTTGTTTTTAAATAAGTGCGGAAAAAAATAATTTTTATGTGAAAAATAATATAATTGTGCTAAACTATTAAATTAATTGGTTTTGTTATACTAAATTAATAAATCTTGAGTTAAATTAATTTTATTCCTTAAAAATAAATTCTTTAAATTCCGATAGCTAGTTTAATCGTTAATAATGTAAAGGGTTATGAGGAACCTTAGAATTAAGATGCAATCGATAAATTTTAGACAAAATCGATACAAGTATACTAAGTATACTTAGGATGTGAAAATTTCCAATGATTAAATTTTCGCAAGGTTAGTATATAATTAGGCGTTTAAATCACAATTGGGATAATTTTTGGAATTGAATTGAGGACTTGAGTAGAAATTAGGAGGAGATGTGAAAGGACCGAAATACCCTCCACTATTTCGGAAAATTACCATGCAACCACACCAATACCCTCTCGGCCAACCTTATAACATAGCCATTTCCATTCGGCTGAACACACTTCACTTTCACCTCTCCAACACTCAACCTCTCTTCACTGCGAATCACCTCTCTCAAACACTCCACTTTATCTCAGCCTCGCACCACCACTCCGCCTTACCTCGTGAGTATCGACCGTGAGAAGAGAGCTGCCTGCTGTATCCGAGAGTAAGAAAAAGAAAACCCCGAGCTGTAGTTTTTCTGTTCTGTCCGGGAGCTAGAGGGAAGAAAGGAGAGAAACACTGCGTGAGTTCCTTCTGCATTTTCTTAACCTCAACCAGCTGCTGATCGTCACCATCTTCATCAGTTCCAACCGCAACTCCACAACTGCAACCATCGAGTGCGTAAGCTGTCCTGAGAGAGGAGGAAACTTGACAGCTTTTGTGCCACGCGTATAAGCTTCAGTTCGAGGTAAATCTTGGACTTAGACTGACTAACTACAAGTAGGTGAAGATGTTAAGGAGCTTGCATGTAATGTTTAAGCGTTCGGATGAGTAATTGAGGAAAGGAAAATTCTGATGTGCGCAGAAAGTGGGTTTGCCGAGACTTTAAGGGGATAATGCTGAGATTAATTCGTTTATCTCTTGACAATCTGAGCATGCAATTGTAATTAACTAAGTAAAAAATAATAATAAGATGATTAAGACATGCATGTATTGTTTGTGCGTTCGGATGATGAGATTGATAGCTTAAGAAATCTGATTCGGAAGGAAATAGAAATTGCCGAGAGTTGATTAGGAAATGCAGACTTAATCTTGCTTAATTAAAGTAATCTGAGCTTGTAATTTCGATTAACCAACTAAACACTAGGTGATTAAGTCTTGCATGAGGATAGTTAGCTAGGTTAGGCAAGAAAAATAAAAATAAAATGAAACCAGCTTACATGCATGTTCATCCGAGGCTAGCTGGACAAATTTCTGGATTTTTGGGATGTTTGTAGTTGTTATTCGAATCTGATTTTGAACTAGAAATGTTAATTAGCTAGCTAAGTGTTTGCATGTCGAACTTGAGTACTTAAAACACTGATTTAGCCAAGGAAAAGTTGGATTGATGATCAATTAAGCTGCTGGAAAATTTGCTAGTAGCCGAGAGACTGGAGTTGGAAATTTTAACTTGTTTCTGGAATTTTTCCTTGGAAGAAAATGGTTTAGAAATGCATGAAAAATGTGTATTTAAGCCGTGTAAGTGGTTTAGCTATGAAACATTTGATATGTTGGAAGATTGGACCAAAAATGTTGAAGTGTAGATGCCGGAAAATTTCCAGTTTGGCTATTTGAGTAATTTTTACAAACATTAAAGTTTTGATGAAATTAACTGCTGGAATTACTTGTTATTATTTATACTTGGTTGACAAAACCCTTGCGGTTTAGTCGATGGAACTGCTTGGAAGCCTTGCATTTATTTTGTTCAATTGTGATCTGATATGAGCCTGTTGGATACCAAGAGCTAATGATTGACGAAGCCTTGGTCATTTGTTTAAATTTTGATCAGAAATGAATCTGTTGAAACCTAGGGCTAATGATTGACGAAGCCCTAGTGAGATTTCTATTTGAAATATGAGTTTACTATATTGACAAATCTGAAATATTATGTGCTTGTGAATCGGAATCGTAAGAAATCCGTTTTGGTCCTGTGAACTTGAGAAAGTTTTAAGCAAGTTATTTAAATATATCTTCGCCCTAGTATCGAACGATAAAACTTGGTATTGTATGTTAACGTTAGAAAGTCTTGTGTAGAAATTTTCTAAACTTTGCCGACTCGATATTTCTTACTTTAGCTTAAACTAACCTTATTACTTCTAGAAAACGACTTCACTAGTTTCTAAAACCCTAAGTCTTGTTTTACCTCCTTTTCTTTCCTTAAAATTTGTCCCTGGCTAGATGTCTAGAGGAAAATTGACAAAATACGAGATTTTAATAATTTTAACTAAAAAGCGTAGAAAACCTGCTCGGCAAGAAAACTTACTTTAAATAAAAAAAAAAGTACTAGTGGCACTTTGAGAAAGAAAAGTATTATAAAGAAAGCCATATGAAACAATTTACTACTTTTACTAAGTTTAATCCTAAGTGGATTGTCGAATTATTTCGAGGAAATAAACTAGTAATATACCAGATAACCTTTTATATTTATATACCTAGAATTTGAATAGAAAACTTATAGTTCTTAAAACTTGGTTTTCTAGGATTTAGCGAGGACGCGGATTTCGATTCCCAACTTGACATCTGAGTTTCACTCTTGGTGAGTGTCCCTGCTTGTTTTATGACTATTTGGTTACAGTGCTTTCTTGACTCGATATATGATAATTGTAAAGTGATTTTTGATCCATCGAAGTGAGCAGTGTGTACTTTATCACACTAGCCGTTCGAGTGGTGACTTGTGTGAAATGTTTTCGTGAATATCTCAAGTGTTGTGACGTCGTTGGGTAAATCCCTCGACTAGTTTGTGACGTCGTTGGGTAAATCCCTCGACTAGTCTGTGACGTCGTTGGGTGGATCTCTCGACTAGTTTATAAAAGGGTGTACTCGAGTATTACCACTATCATTTTTGGTGTGCGGGCCCGGGACAGGGGTATGAATGGAGGTAGGAACTGGTGTGAAGTGGCGTTCTACATGGACCGTAGGTAGTGAAAGCTGACGGAGGGTCAACTACGGAAAATTTTGATCAAGTTCGTGGAGAATGGCTCCTGAGAACCCCTGTATCCTACCTTGTGCTGTTATACGCTTTCCTAATCGTTTACTTTAGTTGAAATCAATGTTTGCTACTTGCCTTATGTAATTGCATGTTTTGGGGCACCACTGAGCTTTAGCTCACCCCACGTTATTTTGTTTTCCTTGACAGGTTCTGGCATATGAGAAAGGCCTGAAATCTACTTTACTTGTTATTAATGTATTTCGGATTAAATAATGTAGTTTTGTTTCGGGTTGCCACTTGAGGCTGGAAAAGTGTAAACCCTAGATTGGTTATGTGGTTTGTGTAAATTTGTTACTTAGCTTGTAAGAATGTATTTGGCTTGTATGAATTTGTTAACGCGTAAGGTATTTATTCCATGGTTTGTAACGCGTAAGGTATTTAAGAACCGACGAGTCGCTATCTTAAAGTGCTGTTATCTCTGAAGTTAATGTGGTCTTAGTT